GTCATTGTATCTCAATTGCGTAGATCATTGCTCATGTCAATCACTGGATTGTCTGGTCCAGACTCGATTATTTACAGACCGCCGATATACCGCTGGAATATTGCTGAGTGCGGCTTTAAACAACAAACAAAAATCCTGGAGATTCGAACATACGTTCGCAACTTGATGAAGTCGTAAATTGGATGACGTTATGTTTTGGAGGGCAGTGTCTGGTGAGTCATTCCCAATAGATGTAGCTGGGCTATGCAGATATACGCAAGGGCCGAACGATCACATTGAAAAGTGGGAGAGATATGACAATCGGTATAGGGAGAAAAGGTACAAATAACTGACGTAAAGATTGTGAGAATATCTGGGAAATACCAAACATGTCTGAACTTGTCTGACATTGCTGAGGTCAGATTATATTCAGAGAGTCATAATTATTTAAATCCAGGTAAATACTATTAAAGCTTGTAATTTTATTAACATCCTTAAAGATGTACAAAATGTTGATATCTCATATAAGAAATAAACGACTGCAGGGAGAATAAACCATGAGGGGGTGTTTATTCTCCCTCCAGTGTCCTATTGTACCATAAACAATGACCATGAGTCGTGTATTTCTTAAATAAGCTATTATAAACGCCATGGTACGACCACACACAATCAACTGAGTCAATGAGTCTGACAACCCGATCAAAGCATCATTCATGTACAAGATGTATGTAAAGCATCAGTTTCAGTGATGATTGAAGATAGAAATGCACGCCCTGGCATAAGTTCACCTGGCTGCACAGTCCGGGTGAGCTAAACACAAGACAAGATGCATAATAACTGTTTGGAAATATCTACTTTATTCAGGAAACAGTCTTGTATATGTGATTATAGTCTCACAAGGAAATGAGTTAATTGCAATACAAATACACCCTAAACATTTAGTTTCATGTCACTTGTAGCAGGCAGTCAAGATGAAATATTCATAACTGATATCAGTGACTAGGAAACAGTCCTTCATAGAGATGGCCTTTTGATATACTGTGGAGGTGAGGGGGTCAGCAGGCGAGTTCTACCTCAGGCTTCAGAAAAGAAATATGAAGACATTATTACATAAAAAATGTTTTTCTCCTCCTTTCAGAGAAAAGAAAACATAAGAAGTGACACATAAAATATTCTGCTGATATTTTAGGCTCCCCACCTCCACTCATAAAATGGTTGGTCCCACGTGTGACTTCAAAGAAAATGAAAAATCCCTTTTTTTTTCAATACTTAATTATTTCAACAGCAACTTAATAAGATATGGTCAGTTCAACCACGAGAAACAAATACACAATTAAAGAGCTTGGACGGAATGTTGAATGAAACCGTTCTCTACACAATGGACAAACATGGATGAGAAATATATCCATAAATGCAATTTCACAATACTGTATTCAACGTAATAAGCGCCCAGGGCGCTCTCAAAATTAGAAATAGCGGGCTCTTATTAGAATATTATTTTGGTGAAAAAAAAAGTTGAAAGATCGTAAATTTCGTGGTTTATGCTGACAGCCTGAAACGTTTATATACGACGGATATATTTTTCCTGGATTTAATTGCCCATAATTAAGGGGGCATATAACACATGAGTGTGTATTATACACAAATAAATAAGTCTGGTGTACACTGATCAATCGGAAGAGGTGCTAATTGAGATTGTTCACTTGCCAATATATTAGCAAATATTGTCGTAGGCGCTTATTAGAGCGGGGCGCTTATTATGTCGAATACGGTAAATTACAAAGTAAAATAGTATTCACACAATACAATAATGTGGTTTGGGAGTGATGTTGTTTGACGTCATACTTCAGAACCATTACTCCATGCAAATGTAGGCTGATGTCATTCAAATTTCAACATTCTTTCCACAAACATCAAGCATATATATTTTCATTTTCAATATGTTAATTTACACAGAAATGGTGACGAAACTATTCTTCCATAATCCAAAGATGTCCATTTATACATAGCTACTAGCAGGAATGGTACAAGAGGTAGGCCTGTATCAATCAAGTCTGGGTACCAATTCTCATCCAGAATCCCCACACGACCAAAGATTGAAAGAGTGAGTGAGTGAATGTATTTAGGGTTGTTGTCAGCAACATTAAGCTATATCACAAGTTAATGACCAATTATGTAAGGAACGAGTGGGTGAGACAGTCATTTTCCATGTTTTATGATAAAAATACATTCAAGAATGGCCATCCTTGTGTCAGTGAGTTTGGTTTAACGCCGCTTATAACAGTATTCCAGTTATATCACAGCATGTCAGCTTAATGTGGGAGGAAAGCCCGAAGTGATGCAGGACTCAGACGTTTACCACTTCGGTGAAACCCACGAGCACGGGTATGGTGCTGACAAACCTAGAAACATAATCGGGGCGAACCGGGATTCGAACCCACAATTATAGGTTTCTGGCGTGCCCAAGGGACGCAACTCTGCACAGCGAATCGCGGCGCCTTAGACGACTGGGCCACCCGTGCCCCCTGGCCCCATTATGACCACCTGCTGTTACACATCAATACAGAAAATTTGCCATATCAATAGTGGGTCAATAATGACAACTTTAATCTACATCAAGCCTACGAGACCTCAGTTGACACTGTATGCGGCCATCTTGGTTTGTGATTTTTGGGAGGGTCAGTACCCGTTCTTTCAAAACTTGATGGCTCTGCGAGCAGTAGAATGTTTTCTGTGAAATGTACCCATGCTATACCATGGTTGTGATATCAGAAGTTATAGCTATGTCCATAAACAGAATTGTCAGCAGATGATGTATTGGGGACCAGTTAGTTAGGGGTAGAGAATGAGAGGTCAGGAGATTTATTATCCATAAGAGCCCTCTTCTCCACAATATTATTTATATTTTACTGGTGTATAAAAACACATAAAAACCTAAAACAGAACAACAACAACAACAACAACAAATTGTGTATTTTTCAAGTATGTTTTATGACACTCTCCGTAAATGACTGGTCCCTGAGCAGGCACTTAATTAGGGCTTGGCTGCAGCTGCTGATGTGATAGTAGGCACTGTTGAGTCTGTGGTTTTGCAGGAGCTTGGTACATTTGATTACAAAGAGTAATAGATCACACTTAGAAATTCACTAATTGAACTACATAATCATGTCACATTTTTTAAAAACATTGAAATTCAGCAAATTAAACACAATTTTCAAACAAATAACAGTTGAAGAATATTAACAGATTTCGTTGTATATCAAGAACAAACACTTAATAACATATTTCTAAATATAGTTGTACATGTGCTACACAGGCAGGCTACATCTATCCAGAAATAGTCTTCATAAGTACAAAGAATTCTCCCATACATACATGCAGGAATGTTGAATATGTTTGTGGGGTGGGGTGTCTCCATAGAGGATACAGATGGGTGTGTGGGGTGGGGTGGGGTGGGGTGGGGTGGGGTCAGGTGTGTTGGTGGACCTTGAGGTGGGATGGAGTGGAGAGTATGTCTATAGGGGATGGGGTGGGGTGGGGTGGGGTTGGGTGGGGTTGGGTGGGGTGGAGAATATTTCGGTGGACTTTCAGGTGGGATGGAATGGAGAGTATGTCTATAGGGGATGAGATGGGTGTGTGGGGTGGGGTGGGGTGGGGTGGAGAATATGTCGGTGGACTTCGAGGTGGGATGGAGTGGAGAGGATGTCTATAGGGGATGAGATGGGTGTGTGGGGGTGGGAGATGCAAAACATCTTTGTACTAAGTTTAATTATAGTACCCTGAATAACTTTTCCCTAAAACAGTGCAACCCACCTTTCTGTACCAACAACTCTCCCATCACTATTTAACAGACACAATATTTACACTTTGATAGATAGGCTGGAATCGGATCATCTCAAGATCAACAATATTATCTGCAGGCCATATGACATGGAATGATACAGACCTGGTACCCCTTCCACAAAGCAATCGGTGGGAGAAATGATCATCTGAGCGCTAAGGCCACTTTTGAAGAAGAAGGGCCCGGCACAGGACAAGATTCATGCATGTATGAAGGGTGGCAGGGTAAAGCTAGGACTCCATGGAAGCACAGTTGGTCTACAGGTGTGTACAGGTGTGTGCAGGTGTCTACAGGTGTGTACAGGTGTGTACAGGTGTGTACAGGTCCTAATGAGGCGATCGACACAAGCACCACAGTCGACATTTGACAGCAAAACACTGGACACATAAATCTAAAACCTCATTAACAATTCATTTTTCAATGGCAACGCACAACATGAACTATTGTTATATGATATTGATACATACAATTTTATGCTGAAACCTAATATCAGTGGCGGATCTGGGTTCTTGTTTACATCTGATGCCATTTTGTATGTGTATTTCCTTCCATGAAGACATGTTGATATGGTTGTAAATGTAAAACTAATAATTCTTACATAAGTGGAACCCCTGTCTTGTTTTGTTTAGCCTCAACCTCCTGCCTCAACAATACAAGCAAGGACAGATAACTACCACAGTCTTCACATGACGCAGGTCGTGTGTGTCATCACTTGAACATTGTAAGAAAGTCCTTGCAAAGATATTTTGTCTCTTAACCTGTTGTACCAAGATGAGGTAGCCTAGTGGTCAAAGCGTTCGCTCGTCACACTGAAAACTCGGGTCATTATTTTGTTGGTTTTTTTTGTTTAACGGCGCACTCAGCAAATTTCAAGCTATATCATGGCTGGCTGTAAATAATTGAGTCTGGACCAGACAATCCAGGAATAGAATTATGAGCATCGACCTATGCATGGGATACAATGACATGCATCAACCAAGTAACCCGGGTGTTTGACGTGACGAGCGAACGCTTTAACCACTAGGCTACCCTACTGCCCTGCAATGGAAGGAACACATCCACTAGAATAAAACAAGTTCCTAAAACCATAATTTGCAATGGAAACATCAAACAAATTGAACAATGAACGTTGACTTTAAGATCATGCAATTATAAATAAAACATATAGTATTGAGAATTTCATGGTTGACTGTTTGATTAAAAAAACAAAACAAGAAAACCTTGATATACAATTTTTACTCATCTAACCAGAAGAACTATATTGATTGTCGGCTTAAAAAGCAACAGGGAATTTAATCACTACACTGTTCATATCCTGCTAGTGTAAACATACAGGAACATTTGGAGGAGTCATGTCGAAGTGTACGCACTGTGGAAATCTCATTCTCTCCTGTATGGTTTTACAGGGAAATCTTATTAATCCGAACAGTAAATAAACCTCGTTAATCTGGACAGTACTTAAACTTTGTTAATCTGGAAAGTACTGAAACCTTGTTAATCAGGACTGTACTGAAACTTTGTTAATCTGGAAGGTACTGAAACCTTGTTAATCTGGAAGGTACTGAAACCTTGTTAATCTGGACAGAATTTTACCCAATGAAATCGTTCCATTTACCTAATTTTCACATAAAAAACCCAAGGGTATTGCCCCTTGTATAGTTCTATACATCCTAAAAGTAAATGACCGGAAAGCAGCATTGCCAGAATAACAGGGTCCAGATTAACAGGGTTTCAGTTTGTTTGAAATATTACTGGTGTCATTTGATACTGTGAAATATATCCTATGTAGTTTAGTTTAAGTAACAGAAATTTACGCTGTAATGATCAGTGTTTTTGGCGCCTATGAAATCTACCATATCTTTGTGTTGGTTGAAAAGAAACTGCCAAAGATTGAAAGTCCTCAATTCCTAAAACTTGTACGAAATACCAATCACAAATTCTGATAGAAAACAGGCCACCCAACAGGAACAACCATCTAATGATGGAATACATGGCTGAAAACGTCCAATCTAGAGGTATTACATCAGGATCGATGCTGTAAAAATTAATGACAGTCACTTTCAAAGATAAAGCCTGACTACAATTAACACTGAATAGTTTTTACCTTTCCAATATCAGGACAAGGAAACAGGTAATACACATTATGTATCCTAGCAGGTGGAGAACATCTTGCCTGTGTACATCAAAGCTAGTCTGAACAGTGTTGTGATACAGCCAGGGCAAGCAGATACAGAGAGAAGAGGATGAAGAGCTAACTTGAGCACAAAATCTCACTACTAGTGTCTGCTACTACATCTTTCATCTTGTTATAACACATTGAACTGTAATAATATTTGACAGAAAAACATCCATATGATTTTAACACTCGTATCTTTGAACATTACATTCGACACAATCGCCAGCTTATATAACAAAGTAATATCTACCAATGTTACCATTGTAACAGTGGTCTTCTTTATTTGTATTACTTGGCTTACAGATTTATTTTCAAGGTCATGTCGTTGCTATTAAATCTTTTTTTTTTTTTGAAAAGATGGTTTCTTAAAAGAACTGTCCGCCTTTTTGATTGTCAAGTCAATGAGTTATCTCCCTTCCTCTATAGACTTACTTTGCATTTTTATAACTGAAACTTTGTTAACAGACTTAATAGACACCTCAAAAGATGTTTTATTTCATAATTACAAAAAGGTCCACAAACCAAGTAATACAAAACGTCTCACAAAATACTCTCTCCAGCAACAATAACAAAAATTCACAACTCTGTCAGATCCCTCCGATGGAGGCATGTCATTCAGCATCACAATATCACAGATTAGAAGTCGCTACTCTAGTAACCAGTCTACCCCAGTCCCAACACTGCAGCTAATGTCTAGAAACACGGCAAGTTCACAAATAAAAAGATTCTCCAACCAGACTCATGACCATCCGGTGACATCATCCCATTGTCCTGTCACTGTCTGTATATCGCATCAAATCCCAAAGTTGTGCAATGACTGGGATTTTCTATAAAAAATCCTGGGTGTTGAACAATCTCCCCTGTTTCACACACAAAATTACCACTGATTTCACATATGTCCCTCGGTTTCATCCCTTGGATGAAGATATTGAATCTCATAAAAACCCTGGGGTTGTTTTACGTTACATAAAGCTGTTGATGGGCAGAATGTTCACAATGCCATTTAGCTTGACATGAACATTAGGATATGTCATTCTCACTTTACTGGTTGAAATTTCACATCAGATTTATTAGTTGGTATATTGTTAAGGCTTCATTTTATATTTTTAAATCTCAGCTATTTTGAAATAGCCATGTAGGAAATCTTTTTTGTCTTTTGAAGGTGAGAAACTGTATTACTAGGGGTGACAAACTGTATTACCAAGAAGTGAGAAACTGTATTACTAGGGGGGACAAACTGTATTACTAGGGGGGACAAACTGTAAGAAGCTCTGATGATGTTGTAGACCTGGCCTCCAGCTGGTGTTTGTGGTGGGGTTGTATTAGTGATATCTAACAAGGACGTTATTCACCAAGTAACAGTACTGCCCATATCTTCATCTGAAACTGCCAGTCTGTTCTGGCTACCACATTACAGGCAACGCATGTATGATGTTTAATTCAAACATCTGAAACTTCATTGAGATGCACATTTTATACAGAGTCTGAATACAGGTCGCTTCTTAGTCAAAGGGAGACAACTGTGCAGGTCAGGGTGATCTTCATGTAATTTGAAACTGCATATATATCCAAGTTTGATATAGCTCCAAAATTCTGAATTTGCTGCGTTGGAGAATAATTTTATTCATTAAACACGGCCTTATGAAATACAAATATACAAATGACAAAATTTGACTTTTCTCCACATTAAATCCCTGAAATACTTGATCACAGATAGCTGAGTTGATTTTTAGCAAATCTTTCTTAGGGGTTGTTTCAAGTTCAAAAGGTTGAAAATTCATTTCATAAATGTTGTAGTTATTCTTAAAACAACCACTGATCTCCTTGAACAACATGGTTTACAAACATGAGCACTTGTTCCCACACAACAAAACACCTTTTAACTATTGAGACAACCCCTATCTGCTGCTTGACTGACTTAGATGGCACGGACCGTCAGTCCATCAGAACCTGTAGCCGTAGTAGTCAACGTACTGGAATGACTGGGAGTTGCGGATGGCTCGGAGCAGGCTGGCTGATCTGCGAGAGCGTTTGGCAGAAATACGAGCTGAGCGACTCTTCTGTCTCTCGACGACCTTCATCTTCCTGCTCTCTACGTTCTTCTTCTTAATCCACCTGCAGCACAAGAAGCACATGAGTGATGGAGAGTGAGTGAGTGAGGAGTGAAAAGTCCATAAAAAATTGCTTACTGGCCAAAATGGATAAATATAGGCTGAAAAAAGGATATGTGGCTATTTGTTTTAAGGAAAAAAGAAGGCAACCATGGCATGATGAGGACTTACTCTTTAAATGCCTTGTCACACTCATCCCGTGACACAGTCTGGTAGCCATCCTTCATCTCCTGGTCTTGGCGGTGCTTCAGCAGCTTGTCCCGCTGGATCTGGAGGCGCTTCTCCTTCAGCCATGTTCGGAATGCCACCTCATTCTCTTCCTTCTGAAACACACCGTGCCATTAGCACAAGGGCATACGTCAAGAGAAGGCAGGGCTGGACAAAATAAGACTGTTTCACACTCCCAGCCAACTCTTGTCCAATCTGGGCATATCGGTGTATTACCAATATCTAACAAGACAGGAAGGAGAATGTTAACCCAGTCTCATATGCAAGCTTTGACCACCCCACAAAATAAATATCTTATTGTGTTAAAGTTTGGCTTGAGACTTTACTGCAGAAAAATGTAAAGGGACCAGTCATTAATGAATATTTTCTGGAAGCTTTTCAACAACAGCTGTGTTAAAAATAGAGCCATTAGGCTCTGTAGCTCACTTTAATATTTGAAATATAACAGAAAAAAGTCTACTTCAGGCACATAAAATAATACAGGTCTGAAAAGGGCTAAAACCTAGGACATGAAAACAACAAGTACAATTCTTTTAACATAATAGACACAATAACAGGTAACATTTCTAAAACTGAAAAAGAGATCTTCAACATGTTCATAAAGAACACAACAACTGATTACCTCCCCACAAAAGTCAAGGTGGTAGATAGGGGATGGGTAGATTTGGCAGGCTGGACTTACTGCATACGTTAATACACTGGTTAGTTTGTGAGCAACTCTGTGAAACACATGGCTTCATCTTCCCAAGGCAAGGGAGTTAACTGACTAGAAAAGTCCAGTTTCCACCATTGCCGAACTTGGCTGGAATTATGGAGTTATATTTTGGCTGGACTAACGAGTCTATTCATAGTCTAATGAAAATCGCATAATGAAATCGACATTCGGTTCATAAACAACATGGCGACTGCCATGAAGATTTCAGTCAACTGGGCATGGACAAATGTCTTTCACATTTTTTAAATATTTTTAATCAAGTTAATCAAGTGATTTGATGTACTTCGCAAAGTAAGACGCATTTTATAACAAAAAGACCTTGATTATGGATCAGATCGTCTTGACTGGGTGCAGCCATTTTGTTTGAAGCAAATGATATGAGAGGTGGAATCTGATTGGTCATTAGGAGGAAAATAGAAGGGACAAAACTAGTAATCGCCACTGGTGGCACTACGATCGAGCTACGAAATTTTAACTTCATATGTTGTTTATGAAATTCTACAAAGGTCTAGCATAAATATGCAAAGGGTAAATAGAGGTAAGTCTGGTGACTGTTGTGGTAAGAGCAGTCGACCTGTGAGACCGAAGATGATTCTCTTGGGGATAGCAAGATGTAAATGGTCAGTTTTTACATGACTAAAAACTTGCTACTTGCATGGAAGGGTCTGATTAAGGGTCTTCTGGCACCTCCCAGTCTTATATAGTATTCAGTCATCCCATGTTCGAAAGACCGATGAACGTAGGTTGTTAACCAAGTTCTTTTAGACAAGAAGAGTTTGATAGCGCTGAATGAATATAGACATCGAGGGACTGGAATTTAGTTACTGACATAAGGGTTGTGACTCATTTCGCATGTCGTCAAACATTATTTGGATGGAGAAGCTAACATTATCATCAATAGTATTTTGTTAGTTGTCCAAGAGTGGTGCACAGATTCCCAACACTCACTGCTGACCAAGGAGGTTCTCTGTATATTTGAATTTGGAATCAGAGTGAGTGAGTTGGGTTTATTGCTGCTTTGAACAGTATTCCAGTTATATCACGGCATGTAAGCTTGATGTGGGAGGAAAGCCCAAAGTGATGTAGGTCTCAGACGTTTACCACTTCGGTGAAACCCATGAGTATGGGTATGGTGCTGACAAACCTAGAAACATAATTGCGACAAACCGGGATTCGAACCCAAAATCATAGGTTTCTGGCGTGGCCAAGGGACACAATTCTGTACAGTGAATCATGGCGCCTTAGATGACTGGGCCACCCGTGCCCCCTTGGAATCAGAAAAAGTGGTTAGAGTTGATAAGATCTGAGGACCTCTTGTGAGTAATATTCAAGAATTCTATCTACAATAGTCGGACTTCAGCAGCAATTCTGACTTATACTTTGAGTGGCTGAGGTAGAAGGGTAATACAATGCCAAACCTACGTTTACAATATGCTGTTTTTGTCAGACAGACAATACATTTGACTTGTGTTTCAGGGTGTCTTTGATCTCCATATACCGGTACTTAGCATCTGCAATAACAATGTCACACCCATGTGTTTGTTGACTATACTGCTATGCAGGTTAAACACAAACTGGTTGATGGCACCCACAGCCAAATGGAGCAAATTACATATCGCATTGTGACATCCCTAATAAATACATCTACTTGCACTAGAATGTACAGATAGATATCAAGTTGGATATACACATCAGAAAGCCAACACAAACTGAAGCACAAATACATGGACAGTTGCACAGCTTAGGTCACTCACAAGCACATGGATGATAGATGGAGACTGACAGGAGGAAGAAGGAAACATTTGTCTCAAACATTACAACTATATAAACTCAGGTTTGTCAGGTCAGTTCAATTTGAAATCTATATGACTTACTATTTTTATTGTTTTCCACTTGTTAGCCATTTTTAAAACAAAACCATGCTGATTGACTTGGTCAAGACACTTTGTGTACCCTGCATTTCAAAATCCCGGATCCAGGTCAGATCCAGGAGGTTCTGTCCGATCAGAACAAAGATCACATGACCACTGGTAGGCCTAGCCAATCATTTTGTGAAGTAAACTCTGGTAAATGACGTCAACAGACACCGTCATTATGACACAGATTTGCGGCGATGCCTTCATGATACAGTCCTGGAGTAGTTTCATAACAAGGAAAGTCTACAGTAATCTTCCAACTGGGGAGAAGAGCATGAGGGAGAGAAACAGGAGTAAGTGCCCAGGCAAGCATGATTTAAACAATGGGTGGGTGTCATCTCTTACTATAAGGTGAAATGTGTGCTACACAGGGATTGAAATGCTTTTCTTTAATATTTTTAACTTTAACTACTTTCATGAAAGGATGGTGCGGGGAACTTGGGAACCCAGGCTAACATTTTGGCAACATGGGTAAAACAAGTCAGGGCAACCCTGAATTCAGAGCCCATGATCAAAGGTGTCTGCATGCCTGAGCTCTGTACACTGACTTGCAGTGCCTTAGATGAGTGGGCCACCCAATTCCCTGACATAACACTGATGCAATTTTACAAATAGAATTTTACTGATTGAAAAAATAAGAGAACAGCTATTGAAGAAAACAGTATAACGTAGTGATGAATAAGATACTCAGTTATTAAAATGAGATCTTCTACACCGATACCCATAGCATTATCAGGGGTCGGCATCATATTGCAACCGCAATGATTCAGAAATTGATTTGTAACAATGCTGACTGGCTGATTAGCACTTTCCCCTGATGTGACTGACCTTGGAGGTGTCCTGGGTCATCTTCACCATGTTCACGCAGACAGGTATCGTATCGGAGTAAAAGATCTGAGGTTAATAAGACTAAGTTAGAACCTGAACTTTTTAACCCAACACAGCAGGACGCTGTATTCCACTTGTTCCCTTATTTTTGACCCTCAGAATATCACACATTCACCTACACTACGACTACTGAGTCTAGCAACATCACAGGCTGACTCAGAAAACGTCTAGGGTTATAATGATCACACTACCATGGTAACACAACAGAGGACACAAGCACATGCAGCTACTATGCCTCTAGAGGCGGCGGCGGTGGCGACACTCGGCAGTGTACCTGGAACAACGGTTGGAAAGATTGCAGAGCTGGCTCCTCTTGCTCCAGCTGGTTTTTCTGATTGACAAAATGGTTCAGTAGTCAGACATTTTGTTTTGTATACTATTTATATACCTGCAGCCAGAGGAAATCATGTATGGATATTTAGGGTTTTAGTGGATATATACATAGTTATACTACCCTTGCAAGGGTTAGGGAACATTATTCACCATTGGTATAGGACATTAGCTCTTCTGGTACCCAGTACAAGCTTGGATACAGCTTCTTGGAAAAGTAGTTATGTGTTTTGTTATTTGGCAATGTGTTATTTTGTTGAAAATGTACCACCCAATGAGTTGGTTATAGTATTGTAATATGTTAACGTTTTACACCAGACCACCCATAAAATTTCAAAAAGTATGACTGTTCATTATGTTTCAAAAGAGGGTGTGCACACCTTGGAGAAGATCAGAACTTTTTGCCTTGTCTTAATGTCTAAGTCATATAGAGAGAGTTGTCTTGGTATAATAAAGTAACTGTGGACAGGAAATGGCTGGTGCATAACATGATTCCAAGGACAATTCAAGGCTTTTCAAGGATGACCATAAATTAAAACAATAAATATATATAGTCTACCACAAAGAAATTCAGGTCATTCAATTTCAATGATGAAATATTGATGGGTTAGATGACATACCCCACCAGCCTACGCAACAACCACCAGTCAGTTTGACCACCACCTGTTAGAATGATTCACTTCCATGACAAAGAATACACACTGCACAGCAAAGATAAAAGGTGTAAAAAGATTTTAAGAAAAAAACTTCCTTTAAGTCTTGACTTGACATTCATTATTTTGTACACAATCAATATACAAAGGGACTCCCAGCATAGTTATTGTCTAAAATTAGATTAAGTAATTAGACCTTAGGACTCATTGAAATAAATTTCATATTTCAGGGAGCAAGGAATTTTCATATTTTAAGAGCTTAAACAACAAAGACACCTTAAAATAACTTAGAGAAAAATTTATTCAATTTACAACTTATATTTTGGGGGATTATTTTTTCAGGATTTTAACCATGTTAACAATTTTCTGTTGTAGATAATACCTAATTTCCACAAGATAACTCTAAAGATAAAGTAAAGATCGAGGTACAGTAAATATTAGATCCCACTATTTGAAGGAAGTTAACTGTCTGCAACTATCTAACTAGTGTAATGAATGTTTACATCCCTGATCCCATGCTCACATGTTCCAGATAGCTCCCTATCCCATGATAGCAAACCTTCGATATCTTATCATAGAGTAATGTGATCTAAAAATGACAACATGACGTAATCTCTTAAAATACCGTATTCGACGTAATAAGCGCCCCGCTCTAATAAGCTAATAATAATTGCTAATATATTGGCTAGTGAACAATCCCAATTTGCACCCCTTCCGATTGATCAATGTAAAAAAGACTTATTCATTCGCGTATAATACGCACTCCTGTGTCATATGCACCATTAATTATGGGCAATTAAATTCTGGAAAAATATATCTGCCGTACATAAACATTTCAGGCTGTCAGCATAAACCATGAAATTTATCTTTCAACTTTTTTTTTATTCACCAAAATAATATTTTAATAAGAGCCCCCTATTTCTAATTTTGAGAGCACCCTGGGCGCTTATTACGTCAAATACGGTACATAATATGATAAAATGTTTCTGCATCCATTGTATTTCTCACATAATTCTATTTTTCAATACATATTTTGACAAAAAACACACCTCAACAATGTAATTGATAGGACATTTGTGGCACATTTACAGGCTATTGTAAAAGGAGTGTTTTGATTGGCTCCTTTTCCTTTCTTGCATTATCCATCTGATTGGTCAAAACAGGTCCTATTTAAAGTGCTCAGTGGTTTCCCTGGGTGGCAGAAATTGGAACATACAGCCTAGGTTTTGTAAGTTTGCAGGATTAAAGTGTTGGTTAAAACATGGGACTGGGTGTGCAGAGGAACATGCACCATGCACATCGACATCACCAGAGGCAGCCTGTGCATCTACGTTCACAAATAAGAATGGCAAAAGAGTTATAAATTTGTAATGAAATGTCTTACTGTCAAAGAGTCTGCTTCTCCATCCGACCAATCCTGATTCGCCACGGAAAAATAAATAAGAATCTACATTTCATGTACTCAAAAAAACAGCCCAGCATCTGCCAGGCTCAGATGATGTTATTGTTAACATCTAGCCAAGCTTCTCACTGAAAAGATCTTTTGTAGGGGAATATTCTCAAAGAAAAAATCTTTTTGCAAAAATATGTATTCTGTAAACTTGTGAAAAAAAAGTCATTTCAAAATATTTTTTAACTACATTAACTGTATTAAATTCTTTTGCCATTGTTTGCTAATAGATAACTTGATTTCATCATCATTTTAACTAATAGATTGAACCATAATATTTGTTTTGATTGAACAGCGACTTTTGAAAAATAACAATTCTTGGAAAAGCAGATATAGAAACATGGTATTTGTCTTTATTATTTGAAAAGGCTGTACTAAATTTATAACTCTTTTTCAAGCTTTTGGAAAAAAACTAATGATAATTAGAAAGATTTGATAGACAATAACAGCTGTGACAATACAAGACAAAACATCACAGGAATTCGTAGCTGAATACAGATACAGCTAAATTACTGTGGATACACATCTCATGACACATGACCCATTTTAAATGCTATAAAAAAATAGTTGGTTTTTGTCTTTTTATTTTAATGTTAATTTTAAAAAATAGTGATACATTTCAATGAGGCTACATGTCAGTTTCAAAGCCTAGATGTGGTCATACATAACTCTTTGAAAAGGACTGTACTTTCTTGTGCATAATGCACATTCATAAAAACAAATACAACAATGTAAAGGGGGTGCACATAATATACGCCTACAATGAGTTTTGATATTTTTTTTACCAAAGCAAGGAAATGTGTCAGTTTTATGTGAATCAGATGTTAACCATTAAGTGGAAATCACCAAAAGGGAATGGTAAGATCAAGAAAACAAAATTGGGATTAAAACACCTAACCTGTGGACCATGTCTGTTAAAGGGACACAACTCTGCACAAGATTTTGATAAGTTATAGTCAAAGTCACTGCAGAACTCAGCATATCAAGTGATCTAGGGAATAATTGTTGTCTGTGAAAACCGTTGACTATCTAGACATTCTGTCACACTTGCATCTTACTACACTGCTCTGGGTCATGTATCACAATGCATCTGGTGAAATGCTACCCCAAGTGACTACAACATACAACAGTACATCAGAATTAACAGCAACAGTAACAATGCAAACAGCCCAATACGGACACCAACAAAAACCATAAGTCACCTTATCAGTCCGTTCCTCTTTCCTCTTTTCCTCCAGATCTCGATCTCGCCTCTTTCTTATTTCTTCTCTCTTCTGCTTCAACCAGGCCCGGAATGCATCATCACTCTCCCGCTGTTCAGTTTCTTGCTCCTCCCGTTTCCGTCTATCCTGCTCTCGCTTATGATCCTCCATTGCCTTCGCTCGTTGTCGGGCAAGCTCCTTCTGTTCCGCTGAAAGAGCATAAGGCGATGTGTAGGAAAAGTTCTCCAACGACCTGCTCTCATTGCTGACCTGGTTTGCTGCCGACTTTGGTCGTTGCTTGCTTTGCACTGGTCGAAGTGCTCGACGATTTGTGTGACCGTTTGCTGTAGCTGGTCTTGGCTGTTTGGGAGGAGAAGGCTGTTTTGATTTTTCATGTATGTTACAATTGTTTACATTTTTCTTTGGTCCTCCCTCCTTAGCTGGAGGGTCAGGGTCAGGGTCAGGGTCACAGACATACATCTGCCGCTCAGTAGGAGTTAAATCGTCAATGTTCACCACCTCAAATTTACCCTCACGTTCCACTACCACAGTTTTTTTCTTGCCATCTGTGGGTTTTGAGGTTGGATTTACAGAGGACTTGCTGGACACAACCTCGGTTTCACGAGGACTTGTAGGATTGGATTTTCCTTTCTGAGAATCTTCATCATCACTGAAGTCTGGTGGCGGGGCGACCAGATCGACAAGAGTCTCCTTGAAGCCGACCTTGTGTGACCTCTCTCCGGGGTCGGACTCTTGGGCAAGTTCTGCGTTCAGCTGGATCAGCCGGTCCTTCACATCGTACTCCGGGGGATCCTCATCTGCAACCCAGCATCAACACATCTTACAGTACTGGTCCATACCAACATTACAGTCCTTGGTAAATAAAGGCTGCACTTCTAATAGTGTATGGAATGTCACAATAAATCATTCACAACACTTTCATTTAAATATTTCGAAGTTGTGAGGTGGAAGGTACTTTATTTCATTTCATTTTATTTTCAAGAAAATGTTCAAGGTATCTTTGTTCACAAAGCGACAAATTTCAGTACAGGTGCAAGTATCATCATCCATTATCATGTGCTTGACATAGGTACTGGCACTGTACCGGAACATAGCCTTGGTAGAATACAGAAGTTGAAATCCTCAAGTCAACTTGACACAACAGCTTCCAAATGACACTTTAAGATACAGCGAAAAACATTCTGCCTCGATGTCTTCGTACAAATGAGGTTTGAATGTGACCCTCCACAGAAGCCTTGTCAATTTGGTCTAGACACTGAAAAATTACCTCTTATTCATTCCATTAGACTGGTCATGTATTATTGGGGGGGGGTGGGGGGGTGGGCATGGGTGGTGTGCATTATATTATGCAGACACCGCCCCCCTTATTTTAGGTAACATTTATTCATGACCTCCCCTCACCCCTCCCTATAATAAATGACCAGTCCCTCATGTTCATTTTGTTCATAAATCAGAATGATCTGGTATTTCACAAGACTCAGACTTTGGTAGGGTTAGAAATTAAAACTAGCCCACTAGCCCGCTGTTTCATCATAAAATAGTTGTACCCTGTTTGGACAAGTGGCTAAAGTAAAAGATTGGTTATTAAGTCCTTCACAGCTAAACAGTCCATGTATGTGAGCGGTGGATCAAGTGAGTATGGTTTAACACCGCTTTTAGCAATATTCCAGCAATATCACGCTGGGAGACACCAGAACTGGGCTTCACACATTGTACCCATGTCGGGAATCGAAGCCAGGTCTTCGGTGTGACGAGCGAACGCCTTAACCACTAGGCTACCTGAACGCCCCATGTGAGCGATGGAGCCAGTGAAGACAGAGAATGAGAAGTGTACACAGCCCCACCAGGGAAGTCGTTCTCCTGTCTCTGTGCTATCAGCTCCCTCATGGCCCGCTTCTGGTCATCACTGAAAGTGTAGTCATCTGCATCCGACTGGCTGGAGTACTCCTTCTGCCCCTTCTCAATCTCCTCTGTACCCTTCTCAGGCTGGCTGTCCGACGACTCCGTACTCTGCTTCCTGATGGACTCCTGGATGAAGAAAACACACATTGATTGACTGTGTGGATGTTGGTTTATGCAAAAGTATGAAGCCTTTAATAACAGTCTGTGACAAACAACTTCCAGTCCACTAGCCCAAAACATTGAAGCATCATTTTCAGTCAAGTTTAGTGTTATTATATGGGTGAGTGTGTGGGTATTGTTTTACGCCGCTTTTAGCAATATTCCAGCATTATCACGGCGGGGGACACCAGAAATGGGCTTCACACATTGTACCCATGTTGGGAATCGAACCCAGGTCTTCAGAGAACGCTTTAACCACTAGGCTACCCCAACGCCCCTGTTATCATATGGACTGTTATTAGCTGAACTTACAAGGCTCAAAAGAAAGTTTCTAGGCTTGGCTTCCGACTATTGGCGAATGTTGTAGACTGTAATGATCAAGTTTGGTCTACTGTAATGATTTCCATTACAGAGGAAACACTATCAGCCATGTCACACATTGTAACCATCCAATCCTCATTTCAGTCAGCACACTGATTTAGAGGAGGTACAGTACTGTAACCTTAACAATATCAAACACAGGTGGATGGGCCATATTTCAAGCCCGAAATACAAGTTCCTTTGAAATTATGAGGCAACTAACTCCACTGGTGTTTTCTCCGAGAACCTTACCTTATCGTCGGCAGCCTTGTTGTCGCTCTGAGAGCTGTCCTCGCTGGCTATGAAGGAGTCCAATTCTTTATCGAAGTCCTCAAAGTCGTCATCGTAGTCGGCCTCCTTCTGGGAAGTGTCGGACACCTCAATACGGGGCGGCACGGCCACAGCTGCTGACATGTTTAGACCTGGAAGTACATCCACAAGTTACATGTCATGAATGTCATGTCTGTCATGCATGTCACATGTCAGGAATACCAATGCTGACATGTTTACACATGGAGAGAGAGAGAGAGAGAGAAAGAGAATGGTTTAAGCCACTTTTAGCAATATTCCCGCAACATCACGGCAGGGGACACCAGAAATGGACTGTACACGTTAGGGCTGGGACTAGTCCGAATTCACTACCCAGGTACCCACTGTAGGTCTCAAGTGATAGGTACAAAATGTTTGATTGGGCATTTTGTTTTACCATAGCCCTGGCAAAACGTATTTAGATACATGTATTAAACAATCTGGTCATGCATACACTGAAGTTGAATTAAGTTATATCTTTATTCAACCATATGAAAAGTCATTATGAAGGAATGGGTTCATAGTCAGAAAGAAATGTGAACATTAGTGACTTGTAGCGTAACCATAGAGTTCTAGATACTTTTTGTCATTAAACAATATATCACGGGACTAACCACGGGTCCGGGTAGTCATGTGGGTACCCGGGTCTTACTCAGTACCCACCGACCCGAGTACCCGAGTTACCCCTCCCAGCCTTAGTACACATTCTACCCATGTTGGGAATTGAACCTGGGTCTTCGGTGTTATGAGCGAATACCTTATCCACTAGGCTAAGTGACCCCACCGCCCAGTTTACACCTGGAAGTATATCCACATGGATGACATGTATGTTATATATCACAAACATGTATTAGCGTCAGCCTGCTATCCTGAGTTCATCTAATGTTAAAGGTATCTTTAGGGAGGGTCCTTATATGTTTTCAGGTTAATAAATGTTGCTTTGTATATATCATGTACTTGTCTCATATCATGCAAAAATAATCACTGGCAGCAAGTCAAAATACCCTTATTAGCTCCCATAAATGTGACAATACTATGTTCTCATAATCGTCTAATATACAAAATATTCAAAATTCTACCATGACCTTGGAAGGCACTTCTTTTTAATTGATCATTCAGAAGTATCAAAATCACAAGAAGATGCCTCTGATTCAAACACACAATTCTCTAGGGCTAAAATCTCGACTGCACTCCTGAGGCACATGAATGTCACCATTTGCCCCACCGAACAACTGTGCAAACAGATAAGTCATTCAGATGGCAATAACTCATATAGGTCTACATTGCTTCAAACTTTGCTATGTATTTCCAACTTCACGAAATAATTCAAGTGATATTTCATGGTTACTTATGTTTCAATAAAAAACGGCAAAATTAAAAAATATCAGAAAATACTATTTCATTTTATTTTCATTTTTCTGTTTTTCATGTTGACAGATCCTAAAAAAAAGAATTTAATCGCTTTCATATTTATGTAAATTATAAGAAAGTTTCTCATGCATGGCAATAAACCTAGAGCTATGTCATCTGTAGATTGGAAACTTCACAATGTGTGATTGATTCCTAATTTTCTTTTGCGTATTTCAATTTCATAGAAATATGAAAATAATACCTCATAAGTCATCATGAAGAATTCTGTCAGTATTGTCTGCTGATAAACCTACTCCCAAGTACTGTAGTGTCAAGCATTCTGACAGGTTACAAATATATTAGTAAACTAGAGCCATTCACATAATAATTTTGCTTCTGAAAAAATGCTATTCATAAATGCCTGCACAATGTACAAAAGTCTGCAATCAACCAATTTTCATTTCCAAATATTCAATAGTGAACAAAATCACCAACTTACCAATAAATCAAATGACAAATCAAGTACAAAATTCCAAAAAGTAACTTCCATTTTGTTTAATGTCCATCTTCATCATTGTCCATAACTATCTTGACAGTGGGATTGAAACCCGGCCATGGAGACACTTGAGGAATCCCACTAGCAGTGTAACCACAACAAACACAGTCTCTCTCCTCCCTGCCTGCGTCCACGACGTCAATCAACCATCGGCACTACTGCCGACAATCAATACCGTTTCAACCAGGCAAACATGACAACGTTTTTCTTTCCCAAGGCGTTCGATCGATGAAAACATAAGCAAACAAACTGGACCTGCCTGTCCCTCACAACAAGATTCATTCACACCTTGTTACCTTACATTCTATAGCAGCAGGCTTGGTGCAGTTATTGATTTGTCAAGTCTCTATCCGATTAGGCTATAACGTAATCTGCACTTGTCACTAATCCGGCTATTATCTCTGGCTTGCTGAACATCAGCTAAGTAGCACTACTTAATCTCTTCTGTCATCACCTCGACTCTTTGGGTGGCGTAAGATTTATGCTTTTCATTTTGGGATTTTTTTCTTTATGGGTCTCCTATTGCCTTGAACACTACTTCAGTTAAATCACGTAGTTTGGGGGAGAGGGCTGAAAGTAATGCAGGTGGTTTATCTCTAGGAGCAAAGCCTGGGATACGAACCCAGAATCATAGGATGCTGGCACACTAAAGGGACAAAACTCTTAATGTAATGTATACGTGATCATGATGATCATAGATTTGTATAATATGTAAACAAATGTTTTATGACTAATCCAGTTTCATAAAAAATGAATGAAGGTTAATGCCGTGATATATTTTTTAAAAACTTGTTGTCAATGGCTTCCTGTTGCTGATAAAGCTTCAGATAATTAATACTGTCAGTCTATGAAAATAGCTATGTGTGTAACAGGAATCTTGGTAAGAATAAGTAAGGATGAGATTTATGGATGAACAACTTCTTTATTACAATTAGAAGCGACGTTTCGGTGTAGGTTCTAACACCGTTATCAAACAAGCAGGTCCCTCACTTTCCTGAACCTACACCGAAACGTCGCTCCTAATTGTAATTAAGAAGTTGTTCATCCATAAATCTTATCCGTACTTAGTCCTCCAACTTCTAAATGGCTCTCAAAGAAGTTGGTAAGAATAGACAAACAATGCTTAGTACTGTGAGTTGGGAGATAAACATGCTGTGTTTTTTATGTAGAACTAGGTTACCTGAAGATTTAACCGTGCTAAACAACATTAAATTTTGATTAAAAATTATTATCTTGGATGAATACGCTTGATATGTTGTAGTTAAAAAAGTAATAATATACACCCATGTATTAAAAAAAGAAGTTAATCACGATGATGCATCTTTGCCTGACAAAACCAAATGAAACTGCCATTATATTTACTGATCTAACATTCAGTGCTGCCAATCAAAGGGGTATAACTCACAACAAAGGCAACATGTTACCCATACCCATAAATGACTGTGGTTTTTACGCTTTTTTTAAATACGTATTTAATGAAATAAACATAAACATGATACCCTTGAAGCTAGTCAGTCTTTCAACCTAGCAACAGTAAATAAACATGGCCGTTACATATTGAAGAATAAATCTACATTTAGGCGTTAATTGATGTGAAGAATTGCTTGCTGCAGTTTACTGACTGGTCTACTGCCTCAACTGCAAATAACAGACATAATTTATTAGGCTTATCCATCTCCTTACAAAACAAACCTGAAATTATTTCATATTGTAAACCGCTCTGGAGCTCCCATCTCCAATCAATGCCTCAGTTAATGACCCTGAAATACTTGCTTGACAAACAGTGTCATAAAGTCTGCCTACAGTAAAAGCATTGATCACCCCTGCTCCTATGAAATTACCATTAAGCTGGATCAAAGTGCCTCTGGCTGGCAACTAACCCTGATATAATACTGCATGTACAACTACCTACAACAATGTGTACTGCCTTGATAAGAACAATCAGTTGACAAAGAGAGGTTGTTTGGCTTGTGGTGCTTGTGGCCAGATCTGAGGCAGATAACACCAGGTATGTTCGAGTACATGTATTCCACCCCACAAAGCAGTTGGTCACAGTGTAAACTCGGACATGTCTGAACCTGACTCCCTGTGTGTCATTTCGGATCATTTCTGTTGTAGAAACTTCTTGTGATGTTTCAGTGAAACCTTATGTAATTCCTACCTTTGGCATGTTTAGTATTTGGCTAGGGACTAGAAAAAGTTTAAAATCTTGTCACATATTGATGAAGTATGACTTGGTTGATACATGTCATCGAATCCCGATTGCGTGGATCGATGATCATGATGTCAATCACAGGATAGTCTGATCCAGACTCGATTATTTACAGACCACCATCATATAGCTAGAATATTGCTGAGTGCTGGGTTAAACAACAAACAAACAAACAATGTGTAATCTGGTAATGATGCAAAGTTACTAAAACACTACAATTGTGTGGTTTTTAGTTCTAAAAAAGTACCTAAGAAATGTTCCCGTAATTCCAAAATGCAAAGTAATTTGTATCTCGCAAAGATTGTGGTTAGTTCATAGTTACCTCCTTCAGGTGCATTTCATAGCTTATGTACATTTCCATAAATCACGATCACTAAACATCCAGAGCACCAAATGACGACATTCCATTTTTCTGTGTGGAAAGCATCTCAATATGGCCTTGTGTATGACAAATATACTGATATACACTTCAGACTTCCTATCCTCATGAAACTCCCAGCTAACAATAAAGGCGAAATAATTGTGATATGACGGTAACCAAGGACAACAAGATTTAAGTTTAGAAACAACATTCACAGGACCTATTATTCATGTCACATGAATATTAAAAACACATGTATGAAAATAATGCCATACAACTTTTACAAGAAAGATCCTGGCCATGCTGGAGTGATTCTCTTCCAATTGCAATTGTCAAAACTGAAAATGAATAGACATGCAAATACAATACACGAAAACCTCATCAGCCTGGGAGAATTGATTGCAGTTCTATTGAAATGCCTTCCTACGTTACTGCTCTCGCATACAGCGTGACAATACGTCTGGAACAGGGGAACTCTCTCTACACAGTCTGGTCCAGTCTCAGTCATGTGTTTCAAACAAACCACTGCTTCAACACAGTTGGAGGCCTTCAGTTACATGAAAGAGTGGTAACAGGACCACAGAGAGAACATAAAACTCAGATGTTTCATTCAATATGTTCTGAGTTCACAGGTGGTATAATTTAACCACTCAGCATTGTTAGGTTGTGATGGTACCCACACATACACCCCAACTTGTCTGTAGTGAAGCAAAACACTGTCTGTGTTCCTTGTAGTAAACACTATCCCTGTGGTGTCTAGACATACAAACATACACTATCCCTGTGTCTAGACATACAAACACTATCCCTGTCTAGACATACAAACACTATCCCTGTGTCTAGACATACAAACACTATCCCTGTGTTTAGACATACAAACACTATCCCTGTGTTTAGACATACAAACACTATCCCTGTGGTGTCTAGACATACAAACATACACTATCCCTGTGTCTAGACATACAAACACTATCCCTGTCTAGACATACAAACACTATCCCTGTGTCTAGACATACAAACACTATCCCTGTCTAGACATACAAACACTATCCCTGTGTCCAGACATACAAACACTATCCCTGTGTCTAGACATACAAACACTTTCCCTGTGGTTTCTAGACATACAAACACTATCACTGTGTCCAGACATACAAACACTATCCCTGTGTCTAGACATACAAACACTATCCCTGTGTTTAGACATACAAACACTATCCCTGTGGTGTCTAGACATACAAACACTATCCCTGTGGTGTCTAGACATACAGACACTATCCCTGTGTCTAGACATACAAACACTATCCCTGTCTAGACATACAAACACTATCCCTGTCTAGACATACAAACACTATCCCTGTGGTGTCTAGACATACAAACACTATCCCTGTGTTTAGACATACAAACACTATCCCTGTGGTCTCTAGACATACAAAACACTATCCCTATAGCATTTAGACATACAAAACACTATCCCTATAGCATTTAGACATACAAAACACTATAAATGATTTTCCTGGAAAGCATTCGGGATTTTGTACCATGGTCGTTTGTTAAGCTGCATTTTTACCCATATATCCATATTTGCGTTGATATTTCAATGGGAAACTTTCATGAACTATTTTCATGAAGTGACGCTATTGTGGTTCAGTATAGTTTGGGAACATTAGATTTTTCCAGTGTCAGTATCTGAAAATGATGATATTAATTCTGCTCCTTTGAAGTATATATCAAAAGACAATCCTTCTTCTGTGTAATTTCCCACAGGAGAATTCAAATACATAGATAGATATTCATATACTTGATAAATAAACATATATTCATGGAAGACAATTTCACAAAAAACAAACCTTACAATATTTTCATGTCAGAGACTAAAGGTTTGTGTTAAACATGTTAAAGACTGGAAGATTGTTTTGTGAAACGATGCATAGGCTGATAGAGACATCCTCTTCAATAGCAGATATCACACACTAGTATGTCAACTCTAGTCTACCTGAAACGTTTGTCAGTCACATGGCTAGATTCTAACCCCACATAGTCAGGTACACACTTTCAAACAAACATGAAAAATTAAACACTGAATACCTTCTGTAGATGTTAGCACAGCTGCTGCTTGATGTTTGGCCTGACTGCTAGTCCATAAAGAGGTCTTTACACTTCAGTCACCACGCACAATCAATTATGCAACACGAGTATCCTTAAGTGATACTCTTCGTAACGCCTTAACCTGAACTATTGATGGGTACAAAAGTCCCAACACCACTGCCGCTTCTGCTACCATGGAAACCAATCACATTCATTAGGTAATGCCAATATAGTACGGACATAAACCACTGATTCCATGCGATGGACAAGGATAAGCTTCCGCAATGAGACAAGTCATGTATTAATCATCCAAGCGATCGACATGGGTGTTTAAACGATTGTATCTCCATCCTACAATTGCTGAATCAATACTCTCTAATGCCATGGATGACCAATGTTCCGGTGAAGGACGTCCATTTGGGAGCTGAATATTGTCTTTACTCAACAATCGTTCCTAATGGATTCATAGTGGAAGCTTCATTTATTCATATACACACAATGATACAGTGATTATGTTTGGTAATAACTGATTTATCTTGTCTCAATAATGCGAATGTTTTCATCGTTCTGCAAGATTACCCATGATGCTTTGTTGT